ACTGACAGATTCTCGTGTAGACTCTCTGAGAAATGGGAATGAGCCCAGGGTTGAAGAGGGAGGGGAATGCTTTGCAGGAAATTACCTCGGGGGCCTCTTCCGTCTAGTCTAGGTTCCTGTTTCTTGGCTCTCTATGGAGTTTTGAGGAAGTAAAAAAGCACAAGAATATAGCCTGTCATTTAAGGAATGGTGGAAAATAAACAGTATCTTCACCTACAGGCTCATTGTGTAGTTCTAAATTGTATACACAAAAAACAGCTATGTAGCCCGGCAGGTGGTATTGCCGAGAGACTAGGCAGCGGCAGAGGTTGGTTCAAAGAGGTCTCCCTTAGAAAACATCTGGGAGGGTCCCAAATGGCCCATTTGTGACAGGCAGGGAAGGGATCTAAACAGCGTGCTCATTTTATGAAAAAATTAAAAATGTCCAAAGACAGTCACTGGCCAGTGTGGCTCAGTTGGTTGGAGCTTCATCCAGTAAACCGAAAGGTCCCAGGTTTGATTCCCAGTTAGGGCACACACCTAGGTTGCACGTTTGTCCCCGGGCAACTTTCAAGAGGCAACCTGTGGATCAATGTTTCTCTCTTGCATCTATGTCTCTCTCTCTCCCCCCTCTCTAAAATTAATAAGCATGTCCTCAGGAGACACAGTTTCATCATTCACTTCCTGCCTTTTCAGAAAAGCAGCCCCCCACGCATGAGCGACTTGTGGCAGGAGGGAGCATTTTGCATTCTTACAGGACAGGGTTTTGCCAAGCTGCTCCCCAGCTCTGCTTAATGGTGGGAGAGGCGTCCTGGGCAGAAAGAGAGAGCCATGACAGGCCGGGCGCTGTTCTTGGGCTGCCCGCTGAGAAGATAGGAGCACATACCAGAACCGCAGGCTTTTGTAAATAAACGCTCCATATCGGGAAATGAAAGTGTGGTGGCTCTGTGAGCCCACTCCGTTCAGGCCACCAGGCGTCTGTAGCCACCTCCACAAACAGGCAATTTTCAATCATTTGCTTGCTTTTATTTCTCAGCTTCATCCCATCTTTAACCGTCTCCCTGTTGCTTTTTAAAATAAATAGGGAGACAGCAACCTTCCACTCTCTTCTCTTTTCATTCATGCTCACTAGGAAGAGCGCAGAGAATTCTTGGTAGAAGGCCGCCTCCTGAAGACAGGTATTTTATCTCCCGCTCCATCAGGAGATTTCAGAAACCATCCCTTGCCAGGAAAAAGATCTTTAGATGCCACGTACTTAAGATTGTTACTCTCTAGACAAATGATAAAATATTCTCATTATGAGCAATGGAAACGACAGAAAGGGGTAGGAGGTGAGGATCATCGGTTTAGTTCTTTATTCGTCAGGTAACTTTTTTAAGTTTACACCCCTTGCTCAAAGCTTTATCAGAATTCCTGAGCCGGAAGAGTCTCTGTGGGTGTCAGACTCCGGGCGTCCCCGTGGGGAAGGTGGAAACCTGCCTGCCCGCAAACAGAGACAAAGTTTCCATCAGGCACGTTGTTTGCCTAAGTGGCACCCAGTACCAGCCTTCTGACATTGATCTCCTCGATGTCCCGTATCCTCGGGATGTCATCTCCTCCATCCCCACAGAAATCTGGCTGCTCCCTTTCCCCAATTTTCCTAAATGTGGAATCCAGTTCCGCATTTAATCAGTCACCAAATCCGATTCTGTCCTTAACATCTTCAGTCACAATCCCCTGCTCACTATCATTTCCGCCCCACCCTCGTTTGTTACACAGAAGGGCATGATCCCAAGCAGGAGGATAAAGAGTGGAGAGAAATGAAATGTCATAGCAGGGCCAGACAAAGGTGAGGCAACGGAGGCACCAAGGGTGCAAAATTCAAGGAGGCACTGACTCTCAAGATCATGCTAGTGTAGTAGGGTCAGCTGAGAATGAGTGCCCTCCAGAGTGTCTGTCCCAGTCACCTCTCTTGCGTGACCCCAGTTCCAACCCCACGTTTATTTGTCTTTTTATTTTCAAACATGTTGCCAGAATCTGTGTTCATCTAGACATTCTCCCAATACCACAACATACTCATTCAGGTGTTGTACCTGGCCTCAGGTGTCACCACTTGGTGAACTGCCTGCTTGGAGGACCTTGCCCCTACCTGGGGAGGAAAGAGGAATAATTGCATCTCTTGAGTTGTCATTTTTTTAAGGAGGTTCCCCTGCCCCCAAACTTTACATTATCTGATTTTATTCTCTGGTTTTATGTCAAGACACCAGCATGTTTCTGCCATTATAGGATGCCCTTGACACACAGGAAATCAGCACATGGGACAGTGGCCAGCTTCAGGGTGGAGTCGCACAGGTAGGGGAGTGTGGTGATCTGTGGTGAAGGGCGTCATCATGCTAAGGGGTGAGGTGAGCCAGAGATACTCGGTGGTCCTAAAGTATCCACACCTGCCAATGATTTGCATTTCAGATAAATTGGAACAGAATCAAGGTTATTTCCATAAAAACATTCTCTTTGGAAGCCTCTAGATTTCGAAAATGTTTTCTTCAGTAGGAGAGAAAGAGGTTGCTCTACATCTGGCCTCCCCAGCCCTGTTTTCACCTTTGAAACACTTCATACGTATACATGCAGGGTGCCATCACTTACGTGTGTCTCCTCAGGACCGAAAGGCTGAGTTGGTGGCCTTCTGCATGTTTGAGCTTAGGAAAACCAGGAGACCTCTAGGTGTCTGATTCCTTCAGACACCGTCTCTCAAGCACCTCTGAAGTGTGCTTCTTGGACCTCTGTCTGGTTGGGGCCTGGTGGGTGGGTTCTGAAATGCTTCCACCTCCTCCTAGTTCACAAATACACATAGGTCCCCTCCCTCCCCACAACCACTATGTCATCAGTCTGTGAATAAAAGGGCCATCAACTATTGTCTTCCTCTTTTATTCCCTAATGGATTGGCTCTCACCTGCTGGCTAAAATTTATCTCAGAATACACTGGATTTTACTTGTCCTTTTAGGTCCTTTTACTAGTCATCCTCGGTAACATGTTTGACCACTGTTGTACACGCAGGAGCACACATACACACACACTGCAACCGCCCTTTTCCTACCTTCTACAAACTTCTCTTTGTAGAGAAGAGACCTCTACAAAGTTGGTCTCTTTGTGACCAACTTCTCTTTGGTCACAAAGAGATCTTCATTTGCGGTCATTCTTCTCTCCTAAACTACTGTACTTGCCTCCTAGTTAGTCTCCCTTCCTCCAGGCCAGATCCCTTCCATCCTTTGTAGGACTAAAACATACCCAGGAGACATCTCCGCATGCTGGTTGCAGACCTTCCTGTCCTCGTGGGTGTATACCAGAATAACAGCAGAGCAGAGTCTTTGGAGCCATGTGGACTTGAGTTTGAACTGGTTCCATCCCCCTAACCTGTGTGGCTTTCATCACGCTTGGGTATCAGGCTCTTCATCAAACAAAAGGAATAAAATATCTACCTCCCAGAGTCCTTGTGAAAATGAATCATACCTATAAAGCAGTTAGTGTAGTATTGGACACAGAGCAGGGTTACCTCTTTCTTCTTCCCTTAGTCGGTTCTAGTAAGGGCGTCTACGAGGGGTAGGAAAGTACTGTGCCATTTTTATTCACATGACCTTTCCTTTGGAAACACTGGGAGTACCAGCATTTTATCCATTGGTATTCCCTTGTCGAAAACATCTGCATGTTCTGAAAATAGAATTTGTATCCTGCTTCAATTAATTTTCAACATAGTCCTATGGAGGGGTGAGGGGGAAAATCAGTAAAAAAAATAACTTCATAAATAAAGAGGCTATAAGTAAATTAGTTAGCTTTATCTCATCTAGTTACTTTGATTCTGTTGCAGGCTTACAACATGAGATATGGGTGACATTTTTTCTCTGTGAACTTTTCTCTTCTAGGCTAAACAGACAGCACAGAGCACTTTGTCCTTTCAAAAGTAACTTCTCACCTTCACAAACCCAATGAGACGCCCTAGTCATTTGCTATAACGATTCTGCCAAATATTTGATGTTGTGCAGATGATGTTTCCCACCCATGAGATCATGAGAGAAAACAGAGACTTTGTGTTATTAGTAAGCCAGTGAGTGAATTCTGCTGAACTCCAAGAAAAGGAAAAGATGCAACATGAACCTTTCTTTCTTCCCCTATAACTCTTTCATTTTAATCCCTCTCTCCCCCTCCTTACCCCAATTTCTAGAGAGGTGTTTGCTGGGTGGACAGTGATTTAAATAGTAATTGTGTTAGAAATCAGAAGGAATTCCTTCCCATTTTAGCACTCTTGAAGCTTGGCTCAAGCATTTTTGTTGTTGTTATAGTGTTGGGTGAGTCCATTTTTTATTTAGATGATCTTGGGAGTCAGAATAAATTTGAGAAGCTCAAGGATAATGACTCCCTGGTGGGAAGACAGGACTCACTTCTCCATTTCCCACTCACAATGCACCTAACATCCAGGCACCTTCTCTGTTACAAGGCAGCAGTTCTTACATGAATGGGAACCGAAAGCTGAATACCTTATGCAGAACTGCTCCTTGCAGAAATTCATTATAGCCACATCAACACATCTCTCTTCAATACGGCCACTCATGAAAATACAACAATGGCTTCATTAGATAGACCACAGCTTTAACACAGAATGTGGTTTTCAGGGATTTGACCTATGGCTCCAGGATGTCATTGCTTTTCCAGAGAGCACAGACATGCTTTCTCTGTGAATTATGATATTCTGTCCCTGCTGCCTGGTGACATGGATCAGTGGCAGCTGAACTTTCTGACCTGTGTGTCAATCCGAAGTTGTTTAGAAAGGGAGAAGAGAGACCACTGGGGGATAGGAGATGGAAGACTACGGAAATGATCTCAACCCTGGTTTCTAAGCTAATTAATTTTTTCTCTAACTCTCCCCATTGGCAGGGTGCATGACATACTGCTTTTGTCCATCTCAGGCTGTACCTGCCTTGTGGCCAATCACAATTCCCACAAGACACATTCACTTTAAATCTACCCATTCTCCTGTTTTCTCTTCCAGGTAGCTATAGATTTCACTGCCTCAAACGGGGACCCCAGGAACAGCTGTTCCCTGCACTACATCCACCCGTACCAACCCAACGAGTACCTGAAGGCCTTGGTGGCTGTGGGGGAGATTTGCCAAGACTATGACAGGTATGAGTTTTGGTCGGCTCAGGCCTTACTGTCCCTCTGCAGATTCCTCCGTGGTTTTCAGATTGAGATGAAGTTGTTCATGTGTTTGTTCAAGAAGGCTCTTTGAAGTAGAACCAATGTAAACATAAATATGGGTAAATCCCAGTTGACTCCCCTTGGTGATTATAAAACAAAGCTAGTTAATAACGAGCAGCAACCTGATGGAATGCTCTTTTCAACCAGGAAAATAATGAAAACAATTCTATCCTTCAATTTCAGAGAAAATTTAGGGGATAGTATGATTTCTGTTTTATCTAGTCTCATAATTGGTGATAATCACACTTTTTAAAAAAGCTGTTACCACAGGCACCATAAAGAATGACTCAACCTAGGAACCAACAGGACAGGTAATGGGAAAGGTACCGTTAGGGTCCTTCCTGCTGGCGAGTCTCTGGACTCAGTGTGATCATTGCCAGGAACTCAGGGGCGTGAGGGCTGCTGGGGAATGAACAGAGAGGTCCAGTAAAATCAGAAAGCTTTCAGCACTCGCGCTCTTGCCGACACTTCCCCTCCTAAACATTCAGAGTAGAGGACAGCAGCATTTGCATTTTCTTATTGAAGTGATACTTCTGATACTTCACCTTGAGACGATTGTGGAGATAACTTGAATTTTAGCTCCGATTTCCTTCGGCCCCAATACAGGAAGGATGCCTAAAGGGGTTTGTAGCATATGGAGATTTTTACCAAGAAAAGACTGACAATTTGCATCTCCACTCCCAGAAGCTTCTCCATATATCCTCAGGACTCCAAAAACAGTCCCGCTCACCCTTCTTTCTGTCTCACACACATTACACACACCCCCAAATAATCCAGTATAATAATGTGTGCACAGAAGACAAGGAAGATGAAAGGAGGTCTCTCAGTAATCTTAGTAACTCTTAAATTCTTGAAATGCTTATAAAAGAAACAGAGTGAGTAAATGCACTTGATATGCGTCATTCAATAAATGCTTAATAATGCAGCTGACTCAGACTCTTCAGGGGAGAAGCCGTGTAATAATGAATTCCCGAGAGAAAATTGGTGGGTTGTCAGAAAATGAGGTGCTGACGGCCAGCACCCTGACCGTGGCCTGGGGCAGCCTTGCTGGCTAGTCTGGAGCAAGTTGCCACACGTCTCTGTGCACTGGTCACCTCACACGCTGGATGTGGAGACTCTGATTGGAGCGACATGTTCATCTTTTGGGACTGCTATCCCTTTATAGTGTGAGGCAGACAGAGTCTGAGGAGTGTTTTGTATTCCCTCAAAAATACAGGTCCGGCACAAAAATAAGATATGACATCTTAGGGGTTAGGTGAAAAATCGTGACTCTTTTTAAAACCATAATAGAATAATTCTGAAGTTATGGGCTCCAAGTGGCCAAGAAAATCAGGTCTCTTCAGGTCAGGCAATCACTTACATAAGCATATGCATATATATGTATGTATGCATATGTATGTATATATATGACAGCTCAGCGTAAAATGAACAAATACCTAGAAAGAAAAGGAGGATTGTAAAACCTGGGCACTCTTTTAAGAGACTCCCCAGCAGACTGTGTAAAGCAAGCTGCTCTCTTGAAAACTGACAAGTGCCGCCTTTGCGTGGGTGGACAGGCAGTAGACAGGCAGAGTCAGAAAATTTCAAGTCCGTGCTTTGGCATTAATTTTTCCTCAGATCAAAGCCAGTGAGGTTGATGCTCAGAAAGAAACACTTGAATAAAAACTGACGGAAGGCATCGTCGCCCCTCCCGCAGTGACGTGGAGGCTTTTGATCCCCATGAGCCTTAGAAATCCCTCCCGGCCTCTGACAGCCAGGGCGTTCTTTCTGCCTTGTGCAGTCATTGCCGGCAGGTCGTGACGAGGTGACCCATGAAACAGAACAGCTTCGAGACGTGTAAAGCTCTTCTCAGGGTGGCCTGGAAGCGTAGCTCCTTCCAGGTGTCTGGTCCTCCAGCCCAGAAGGAAATCCTGCCAGCCTGTTCTGTCTCTGCACCTCTGAAACATACCACCACTCATCACCTCCCCTTTGACTCCACAAGTCACACTTGCACACAGGCTTACACACATGCACACACAGGCACACACTCCTATTTTCCTAGCCGGTTGTAGATTTGCCCAGCTCCTGTAGACATCCTGGCCTCCTCAGGCTGCTCAAGGCCAAGGCAATAGCCATCGTTGGTCTCATGGAGATGTGTCTTTGGCCGCCTGCCGTGTCCTCCAATAAAAAGGCTGGTGTATCTGCTGTCAAGAGAGTATAGATTCTGAATACATTGCTTGGAAGCACAGGCTGCCTTTTATAGATGCGGCCACCCCAGAACGAGACAAGGATCTCAGAAACCGAGGCAGCGGGCTTCCTCCTCGGTGTGCTGGGTGCGGTGCTCAGACTCAAGGTTAGAACTGAAAGCCAGCCTGACAGGTGTTTTCAAGTTCTGAGGATTTCCAAGGGTGGAAAGCAGAAGGCAGATTAAGACCACAGTGTGACCTTTTCCGTCCTACCAATGTCAGTCAGTGGTTCTCAACCTTGGCTGCACGCTGGAACCTCTCGAGAGGATTTAAAATGCACTACTGCCTGGGCTCCGATTTAGTTAGACTGTGATTTAGCTAGGCTGGTGCACTTCTTGTGGAATCAGGATTTTTAATTCTAATGGGCATGTGGGGTTGAGACCCAAAGCTGTTAGGCAAGGTGGGTCAAATGCAATGGCTAAGAGCTTATGCAGGACCTACTAGGTGCCAAGCACCTCACATAGTGCCATAAGGAGAGACCGAAGTTAATAAAGCACAGTTTTCCCCCCAAGTGGTTCACAATCTCATGGGCGAGAAAGGCACATAAATAAAAAGACCTGGGCAGTGCTGTCCTCTGGGGGCTGCATGCAGAGGGCACAGATAACTCCTTTGTGGGAAGAGAAGTGGCCAAGGAGGGCCGCCTGGGCATGGTGAATCCTGCTAATTCTGTCCTTCATGGATGAACTAACTCTTGTTATTCTGAGTCATTAGACCAGACCAGCCGGGCAGGGCAGAGTTAGCAGGGGTCATAGGAAGAGCATGGGGCCCTGCTGACAGGTGGCCCTGGGTTCAGACCCCAGCTCTGTGGCCCGTGTTCTCCTCAGGGTGACATCCCCTGGGTTTTGGTTCCCTTGATTGCAAACTGAAGCTTTAACTTCCCTCACAGAGCACTTGTAAGGATTAGATGTTAAGTGGGTGGCTAGCACAGAGATGTGAAGTTCAGCACAGGGAATATAGTCAATAACGTTGTAATGACTGTGTATGGTGTTGGGTGGGTGCTTAAATTATGGGTTCTCTCAGGGAGAACACTTTGTAAATTATATCATTGTCTAGCCACTATGCTGTGCACCTGAAACTAATATAAAATAACATGGAATGTCAACTATAATTGAAATATAAGATTTTTAAAAATAAATTAGTTCATGCAGCTGAAAGAGTACATAAAGCAGCTAGGTAACACAGGGTCTGTCTGTTGTAAATACTCCACCAATGATGGGGACTATTATCATTAATACTCCTAATTTATTTTTTAAAAATAAACTATACACAACAGGGGAAAGAAGTTTTGTGTCAAATTAAAGGTCATTTTGGACCAAGAACCTTTAAAAAATTGGCTCATATGACCCTAAAATGAATTTTATAAAAACGCATAACATTCACACATTTTTACATTGAAATCTAACATTTTTCCATCATAAGTTTAAATAGTGACAACGAATGAAAATTCTCGTGTATTGTAAATATGAGCATTTAAAAATAAAACTCTTATATAACTTTGTGAGTGCGTTCAGGGGCCTCTAAATGCCACAGCTGTTAGATGCCCACCAGCATCCATTTAAAAATGCATGAACAAGCTTTTCACTTTGAGTGGAGAGTCTTTTTTTTTTAATTTTTTTATTGATTATGCTGTTACAGTTGTTCTATTCCCCCTTTCATTCCGCTCCACCCTACCCCCCATCCCCACCATTACCCCCCTTTAGTTTATGACCATGTGTCTCAAGTCCTTTAGATTCTATATTTCCCGTGCTATTCTTGCCCCCCCATCTATTTTCTATCTACTGTCTATGCTACTTATTTTCTGTACCATCTCCCCCCCTTCTCCTCCTCCCACTCCCCTGTTGCTAACCCTCCTTGAGATCTTCATTTCTATGTTTCCACTCCTGATCTAGCTGTCCTTTTAGTTTGCTTTTGTTTTAGGTGTGGTTGTTAATAACTGTGAGTTTGTTGTCCTTTCACTGTTCATGTTTCTTTAACTTCTTTTTCTTAGATAAGTCCCTTTAACATTTCATAGAATAAGGGCTTGGTGATGATGAACTCCTTGAATTGGATCTTATCTGAGAAGCACTTTATCTGTCCTTCTATTCTAAATGAAAGTTTTGCTGGATAGAGCAATCTTGGATGTAGGTCTTTGGATTTCATGACTTGGAATACCTCTTTCCAGCCCCTTCTTGCCTGTAAGGTCTCTTTTGAGAAATCCGCTGACAGTCTGATGGGGACTCCTTTGTAGGTGACTGTCCCCTTAGCTCTTGCTGCTTCTAGAATTCTCTCCTTCATTTTAATTTTGGCTAATGTAATTATGATGTGTCTTGGTGTGTTCCTTCTTGGGTCCAACTTCTTTGGGACTCTCTGAGCTTCCTGGATTTCCTGGAAGTCTATTTCCTTTGCCAGATTGGGGAAATTCTCCTTTATTATTTGTTCAAATAAGTTTTCCACTGGTGGCTGTGCCTTTCCCCCTTCTGGTACCCGTATAATTCGGATGTTGGAGCGTTTAAAGATGTCCTGGAGGTTCCTAAGACTCTCCTCATTTCTTTGAATTCTTGCTTCTTGACTCTTTTCTGTTTGGCCATTATTTGCTTTCTTCTGGTCCACTCCATTGATTTGAGTCCCAGTTTCCTTTTCATTGCTATTGGTGCCCTGTGCAATTTCATTCATTTCAATTAGTTTCGCCTTCATATATTTGTCTAATTTGTGGCTATAATC